ATTGCTGTCACAAATAGGTGGCACTCGCTAAATTTGCTTATATATCGTGATGTTCGGTATTATCTTGTTATTTCTGTATCTTTTTTAGTATATAACAGTACGCGTTGGTGCACTTGTGTTATGCGTAAATCGCGTACCTAATAAAACCTTATTTATTTTCCGGAAATATATATTCAAATTTCAGGTTGATTATATAAATGCTATAAATATGTTTTAATTGTATGTTTATATTGTCTTTTACGGCGCTTTTAATTATTATATTTTACATACGAGTGCCGCATTCATCGAACACACAAAAAACACACCCAGTATATGCGGCTACCGCCATATATGAAGCGTCCTAGAGCACGTGGCGTCCGAGAATGCAGATCTTCAGAGCACTTAAGCAAGATAACATCGCCAGTCATTCATGCCACGCAGGAATGTGCACGGACCTGACGTCCACCCAAGTTCGGGGGACGCTGTTTCTGTTGAGGGACCCGACTGGAGCTACGAGTCGGTGTCGCAATCTTCGAAGACGCCGCAGAAAGTCCCATCGGAACAGGAAATAACGCAGCCAGCCATCGATCGGCTGGGCCGACTCTCGTCTGGTGTCGCCTCCCCAACCAAGTTCTCGCCGAACAAAAAGCGAGAGGAGATGCCCCCGGAAGCAACGCGCCCGTCCCCGGGCGTCCGTCACGTCTCACTCGTTACCCGCGTCCAAACCCCCCGTGGCTCGAACCCTCTTCCGTGGAGCATTCTTCATCTTAGACTTGCTTTGTGCGTGCTTCGGCGGCTGGTTGTCGAGGTTGGGAAACGATGTGCCCTTATCGAGAACTCAAAACGGGAGACAGGCAGGCGGAAAGAACAGTGTGTGTGTGTGTGGGGGGGGGGGGGGGGGGGGGGGGGGGGGCACAGCGTTTTTCAATACGTCGAGCGTCTGCTATTCCAAGAGCCGTGGCATTAATCTATAAAATACTGCGTTAGGAAGGCGTGGTTCTTCTTGCAGCGTTGTTTATACCGACACTTGACGTATATCACGGCGCTCTGTCGCTCGGTCGAATTTACATTTATTAGTATGAGTGCCTTTTCGCGCCAAATGTCACTTAAAAAGGGAACTCGCGCGACGCGGCTTCTTATATGTTCCCTATTTTTGCTTCGTGATTCGTTTTTGGGGCGTTCTTGGTGCTTAATGCTACATCTCATTGGCCGCTGAGCGATAGTAAAATTCTTGATACCTGTCACGCCCCGCATTTCTGAAGATTTCAGCGTCCATAGAGAGCCGGGTCTCTAACGTCTAGTACGTCATAGCTCTCTGCAGGGGGAGGACGCGGTTCCGGCTTTTAAAGAGACACTGACACCCCCTACATTTATTTTTTTATTATTTGTTAGGCGATGCATTATGGTGTCAGAAGACTACCAATCAATATTTTTCCACAACGTCACATATATATTAAAAAAAAACAAAAAAAAAAAACGCAATTGCTTGAAACCGAAACTGAAACTGGACTGTAGAGGAACAAAAGAATCCAGAGTATAAATATAGATGCGTAGCTGTGCAACTTTTTTTTTTTCGATTAGCCTATTTGCAGCTTTTTAGAAGTAAAAAAAAAAAAAAGTCATATTTTGTTTGTATTTTTAATATTGAGTGCGTGCCTTCGATAACCCACGACTTTGATTATATTTGGTCATTGCGTCGATCGAAACCGTAAAAAACGTCACGTGACAACGGAGAAGAGAGTGAGCGCTACTCAAAACGGCCACATTTGATCGACGGTTTTCGGGCGAAAGGAAAACGAATTTCGAGGCGCAAATTGTGTTCTGAGTAGTTGGGCTCTCATATGTCATGTACATATAAAAACCTTGGCGAGCATATATACCCAGTCATGGCCCTTTAAGATGCAGTATAAAAGACAAGATAAGGAAGCTGGAAGGTTTTAGTAAGATGTAAATAGAATATTGTAACGAATGGAAATGGCTCTACGAGGGTAGACTGAAAATAAAGGTTTAATCGGCGTACTCATGTCAGAAAAAAAAAACAACAACAATGAGCGTTGAAAAAGCAGGAGCGGGTGTCGCAGCCTCAACGTGACAGGTGTCTCGAGCGAGAAGTGCGAAAGGAGGATACGCCTCGGTCGTCGGGAGAGTGAGTCGGCAAGGTCGTGTTGGGCTCCTTAACTTTTACACTCGGAATGAGAGTAAACTCCAATCTTCTAGGAGTACGGAGATTCGTTCCTCTTCAGTCATGCACCCACGCACGTGGCACTATGAACCGATACAAACAGTTCTGCACGGATTCTAAAAACAAGCCTAGTTCAGGCATTACCGACTCAGTGATGGTAAGGACTGAAATTTGTAGAGCGTAAAGCGTAGCACTACAGGTGGGTGCCTGTTTATGAACAAAAACTGAGAATGCTTTGGAGCTCTGGTATCGGTTCTAAGAAAACATGCTGCAAGTTTGTTCTGACTGTGTTGACTTGAACGCTCGGTGCTTTCAACGAGCAAGATTATTTTGAAAATTGAGTTAGAATAAAATACTGCACCGGGTGTTTGTGCGAAACATGCCGCAGCCCTATCTATTATTCATTGCCTTCCAAAATACGTTGTCAGCACTAACGCAGCTCAGATTGTATTATTGCTAATGTTTCTTTCCAGGTAGACAGGAACCGCGCTAATAGCTCACCCAGACACTTTTCAAAATAGTTAAACAAAGGTGTTTTTAGGTGCTAACAATTGTAGAAGTTTGTTATTTTCATGTAGATCTTGTATCCAAACGAAAATTGCAAAATAGGTAAATAATTAGACATGGGAAACATTAGAGGCCATACAAAAATGCCTTACACGCTCAGCTTTTGTGTTTGAATAAAATTGGTTATTGTGCTCCACGGAACAGTGCATGCGCCCTAAATGAAAGAGGTAATAGGTTTGTCTTCTAAGCTATCTCATGGTTGACTAACGTATCTTACAGTACCATCATTATTGAAATTTGCTCGAATGATAACCGCAAGCCGAAAAAAACATCATTTTGCGTAGGACGCTTTGGGTAGCGGTATATTGTGATGCAATTGAATTAAAGGCATAGCAAGCCGAGGCAAGACGACACGGTGGCCATTTCCAGAAATGTTCCCTCCGGCGAAATTCTGACTCCTTTTTATCCAGAATATGCAAAGAAAGACCTCTCTGCCTCGTCCTTCAGTTCTGCTGTGTGTGGCCATAATTACTTGTTTATACGTTCTGATGAACTGCCGCCGCTCAGGCCTTACTAGTAAGTTATAATGAACGAGACAACTTATTGAGTAAACTTTACACAAGTACCTTGGACAGACAAAAAAAAAACATGACGCGCGACACAGCACTGAAGTGCGGAAGAGACATGGCACACGCGCACTACCATGCAAGCTCCGATTACCCACTGGAGATCGAAGCTCGCAGGCAGCCTTGTACAAGTAGAACAAAAAATATCGACGAGCTTGCAAACAGTCCGATAACTTCGCCTATTTCTTACGCAAATATTGTCGCTCCGCCTTCCTCGTGTACCGCCTGCTGTAGGGACCAGTAGACTCGCGTGTTGACTTGGCAAACTACGCGTGTGTTGATTAGATTCTTTCTTGCATGCAGGCCCGACGTGTGAGATGTAACTTGACAACATTGGCATAAAAAACGATGCGAAGCGTGAACTGCTTAGTCTAGGAGAGCTATACTGTACTTGGGAGCCTTTTCAGTTTTGTTTTCTCATTTGTAAAATCTTGGAACATCCTATAAAAAAAAAAACAAAAAACGAAAAAACATATATGAGTTCACTTTCCTGCAAAACTTGAAGACTTCCGATGAAGTCGAAAGATAGAAGGCTCCCAGCGACGATTACGCAATATGCGGGCGTATAACGTTGTTTGGTCACTAAAGAAGAACGCCACGCATGATTATAATTTTGAATTTTTTTTTACAATGCTTTGGACGAAAATTTTGAACTAGAGTCATTAAAAAAAAATTCGTGAAATTCACTTTTGTGCCACTTCAAACTAATACTAAGAACCCTTTTTTTTTCTGAAAGGCTTAATATATTTTCGTAAATTTTCCACTAAATTTATTTTAGCAATATGTACGCCGTTAGACGCAATTTAGGTCGGCAAGCCATGCTCTAGGCCGTACCGAGTGCTTACAAAACTAAGCACCTTTTCTTGGTTCTCATGGATTTGAGAGATGATTGACCTGCGAAATGTTCGTTGTAAAATTGTATCCCCGTGACGGAATAGTATTTTAATCGACCATAATTTTAAGTTTCAGAAACGAATAATTTATAGATGGAGACAATATTGTTTTTAATAATATCCCGAGATTGCCTGTCTGCTTCGGTTTCAAACGATAACTAACATGGCTGCCGGTGTCTGCGGAGTGGTGATCGAGAGCAGCTCGTCGAGCTCGTCGATTTTAACGAGTGCAAGTAGTTCTGCGTTCACCGATGTGTTTAGACGAAGATCTCCCCTGCCGATCTAGTGTGCAGCAAACAACTGTCGCAAGTACTCGCCTTCGGAATCGCTTTTGAGGCTGTGCGGGTGCTTGAGTTCGTAGCGGGCGGTAGCGGGACTGGCCTAAGCCTAGCTTAGGCCAGTCCCGCTACTTCAGCTCAGAGCCATTTCATTTTCATTTCATTTCATTTATTGGTACCCTCAGGGCCCGAAGGCCCTGAGGGTACCATACATACGGGGAGAGTTTGGCAGTCTTAAGAAGCCGCCGCCAGTCTCAAAAACATTGGCGGGGCAGTCTGGCAACAACACCTCGACGCCGCTCGACCCGACCTGTCCGCCATATTGTGTTATAGAAAGTGAGCTGGGAAGCTGCTTGACGCGGCGACTCCGATGGAACACGTGTGTTTTTGACTGACTTCGTCATTGTCACGCCCAAAAATGGGTTGCTGCAGCGCTGTGGGTTGTTCAAACACAAGGAAGAAAGGTTTCACGCTCTATCGGTTTCCCCAAGGAGAACGGAACAATGCGAGGCGACACATCTGGGAAAGGAACGTCAGGCGTGACAAGTGGAAGCCAAACACGCACTCGCGAATCTGCCAGGTAAGACCTTAAAATATTTATCTTCACGGGGACAGACACTCGCTTTAGTCCGGCCAGCACATATAGAAGACCCTGCGCTAACTCGTAATTGTCGCTTCAATGACTCCGTCCGAAGCTCAGGTGCGAGCAATTTGACAGGGGGCTATTGCGCAGAGATTTTCTTTGCACGTAACGAGATTTCTCGGTGGTCGAAAGTAATCCCCAGTCCTTCAATGATTACTGGGGCGTGCCAGATGCTTTTTGTTGCGTTGGAACGTCTACCTCCTATTTTTACGTACGAAGTTGTCGTTTCGAAGCGTGCATGCATAGCGCAGGCACCCGTGCGATGAACGCCGATTTTTCAACCACGAACTCGCGATTGCAACATTTTCAGCGTACGCAACTTAAGGGGAAACAGATTATTGTTTATATCTCATTGCTTACAGCTGAGGCCACTCAGTAGCGAATGGAAGTGTGAGCACGAAAGTGATTTCAGCTGCTTGACTGTTTTGCGGCAAATTCTCTCCCGTCCAGCTTATGCTGCGAGAATAGTTCTTCGGTGTTAGATCGGTGTGTTCGACGCATAGCTAGTGAGTCACTGGCAGCAAGTTCGGTGGGGAGTTTCAGTCAACTGGAATCAACCTAACCAGTGCCTGGCCTAACACCTGTGACTTCCTATTTACTAGTGATTACATTGCTATGTAGGTTTTGAAATTATATGAAATCATTCTTTTTTACGTGCATTCCGACGAAGATCAATTCGAGAGAGGCCGGCAGGATGGAAAAAAATTTTTAAAGTCATCTGCCATTCCAACATTGTTCCCGCACTCGAAGCAGAAAAAAGAGCGCAAGCCACCAAAACCAAGAGAGGTAACATCCCAAACTAACTTCTCATTCTGGTTTGTTGTCTAAGTAATAATATGTCAGATCTTGAGCACCAGCAGCTTGCAAAAATAACCTGAAAATTATATTTATAACCTGAGGGAGGTCTATATCTTAACTATTGTGCAACTCAATACCGCTGTTTTCAACATTAGTAATTGCACTAATTCCTCCTGGACTATGCTTCCTCTGCATTGGAGCCATTTGCTGTATTTTAATGCCTTGCTCTATGAATCCATTGGGAGTGAGTATTTATTCCACTGCAGTAATTTCAATAACCACATGACATATTTTTCCATTTGTTTAATTGCACTGCAGCCATTGCCACCCAAGAGTCATGTCCGAGCTAAAGACACAGAAGCGTCTATCTCCTTGCTGACTTGCCCTGAGGTCTCGGCTCCAGTAAGTGTTTTAATCGTAGCTGCAGGCAGTTCATCGTATTTTGAACGCTTGCAAGACACTCGATCGAGCTAACACTCGATTATTACGTTTCTTCAGCTCACCGACAGCACGCAAGAAGAACAGCAGGACGACTGCCATCACCAATATAGCGATCCACGCTTGCTGGGAGCTTCGTCTGCAGTGAACGGTGTTGCACGAGATACGGTGAGTGCGGAAGAAGCTTGCTCTTAGGTTTTGCGTGATCGAGCTAAAACAGTTGCTTCACTGCTGACCCATTGTCGCTCCATTGCAGGCTGTATTCAGTGGTCATCTTCCTTGCACACCGCAGCTCGTGCTACCCAACAACAGTATGGAGATCGAAGACTCACAAGCATCCCTCTCCTCGCTGATTTGCCCCGCTGTGTCGGCTCCAGTTAGTGTTTTAATCGTAGCTGTAGGCAGTTCATCGTATTTTGTATGCTTACAAGACACTCATTCGAGCTAACACTCGATTGTTACGTTTTTTCAGCTCATCGACAGCACGCAAGAAGACCAGCAGGACGACTGCCATGACCAAAATGGTAATCCACGCTTGCTGGGAGCTACGTCTGCAGTGAACGGTGTTGCACGAGATACGGTGAGTGCGGAAGAAGCTTGCTTTTATGGCGAATTCCACTGGTCGTTTTGGAGCTCGCCAGGATCGACTTTTCTGGAACGAGCCTATTTCACTGCGCGATTGGGATAGAGACGGACGTGTTCCACTGGTCGTTTTGGATTGGCTCCCGCTCCAGATCTCGATCTGGATCCGAGAAAAGTCGCTCTGACGATTTCGGGGGATTCAACTGGAAGCCAGCCGGGCTAGCCCAAGGCGCAAACACGTGACTTCCTTTCTCGCGGGGCATCTCGCCTGATCTTGCCTCAGAATTCGTAATGGCCGCTTGCGTACCCCTTGGCTCGACAGCCGATTCGTTTTCCAGGAAGGAGAAGAGAAGGTTTGGGCCGCGCTACGGGCATTCCGGCAATCTTTGCTACAAGCTCCCGAGCCATTCCTGCCGCTCAAGAGTCGAACACGTGTTAAGGCCGGTTCAGACACTTGCGCTCGAGTGCGTTTGACTGTGTTGCGTCGAGAACCAAAAGCGAATCACCGGTACATCTGTCCTTCGTATGAAGCGTGGAATCCAATCCAAGGAATCGTCTTAGCACGCGATATAAGCAGCAACGATGTCCTGGTTTCTCGCAGCCGCAACGCAGTCAAACGCAACTGTCTGAACCAGGCTTTAGCGCCGCGATTGCGAAAACGTCTTCGAAACGACCACGGCGGTCGCGAAAATGGGATTCCCGGGCAGTTGAATGACGGGAAGCCATCCGCCGATCCCGGAGCAGTGATCATGTTCCAGAGGGCATCCGTAGGTGGCGCGACCCCGTTCGGATCGTGTGCTCCATTCCGGATCTGGTCAACTGATCATGGCGCGCTCCAAAACGCCCAGTGGAATTCGCCATCAGGTTTTGCGTGATCGAGCTAAAACAGTTGCTTCACTGCTGACCCATTGTTGTCGCTCCATTGCAAAGTGTATTCAGTGGTCCTCTTCCCCGCACACCGCAGCCCGTGTTGCCCAACAACAGTATGGAGATCGAAGACGCGCAAGCGTCGCTCTCCTCGCTGACTCGCCCCGCGGTCCCGGCTCCAGTAAGTGTTTTATGGCGAATTCCACCGGTCGTTTCGGAGCGCGCCGGGATCGACTTTTCTGGAGCGAACCTATTTCACTGGGCGATCGGGATCGAGACCAACATGTTTCACTGGTCGTTTTGGATTAGCTCTCGCTCCAGATCTTGATCTGGATCCGAGAGAAGTTGCTCCGACGATTTCGGGGGACTCAACCTGTAGCCAGCCCGGCCAGCCCTCTGCGCACACACATGACTTCCTTTCTCGTGGGGCATCTCGCCTGATCTCGCCCATCTCGCCTTAGAAGAAGGAGAAGCACGTCGCGGGCTGGGCTCCTAGACTGTCTCGACATCAGAAGAATTCGTAATGACCGCTTGCTTAACCCTTGGCTCGACAGCCTGTTCGTTTTCCAGGAAGGAGAAGAGAGGGTATTTGCCGCGCTACGGGCATTCCGACAATCTTTGCTAGAAGCGCCTGAGCCATTCTTGCCGCTTGTGCGTCGAACACGTGTTAGCGACGCGATTGCGAAAACATTTTCGAGACGACCGCGGCGGCCGCAGAAAGGGGATTCCCGGGCAGTTGAATGACGGGAAGGCATCCGCCGATCCCGGAGCAGTGGTCAGGTTCAACTGGGGATCCGTAGGCGGCGCGACTCCGTTCGGATCGTGTGCTCCATTCCGGATCTGGTAAACTGATCCCGGCGCGCTCGAAAACGCCCAGTGGAATTCGCCATTAATCGTAGCTGCAGGCAGTTCATAGTATTTTGAACGCTTGCTAGACATTCATTCGAGCTAACACTCGATTATTACGTTTCTTCAGCTCACCGACAGCACGCAAGAAGATAAGCAGGACGACTGCCATCACTAATATGGCGACCCACGCTTGCTGGGAGCTTCGTCTGCAGTGAACGGTGTTGCACGAGATTCGGTGAGTGCGGAAGAAGCTTGCTCTTAGGGTTTTGCGTGATCGAGCTAAAGAGTTGCTTCACTCCTGACCGATTGTTGCTCCATTGCAGGCTGTATTCAGTGGTCATCTTCCCCGCACACCGCAGCCCGTTTTACCCAACAACAGTATGGAGATCGAAGACGCTCAAGCGTCGCTCTCCTCGCTGACTTGCCCCGTGGTCCCGGCTCCAGTAAGTGTTTTAATCGTTGCTGCAGGCAGTTCATCGTATTTTGAACGCTTGCAAGACACTCATTCGAGCTAACACTCGGTTATTACGTCTCTTCAGCTCACCGACCCCACGCAAGAGGATCTGCTGGACGACTGCCACCTTCGAAATGATAGTCCGAACTCATTCAGTACGTTCCAGGTGGGACAGTGTGAGGTAAGTTAAAATTTATATAAACATCGAGATGGCAGATGTATGTCAATTAGCACTTTAAACCACACAATGAGGTACTGTCGGACATCGCAAAGCAATAAGTAGTGTCCCATGAATTTAAAGAAAAGTACTTTTCGGTTGTGGTTCAACTTCTCATGGCCTCGGGCAGTGCCGATCATGTCGTAGTAAGCATGGTTAATGCAGTGAGTGATGTGATTGCTGCGTCGACGTGCCTACCCTGCTACATTTTGCCACAATGTGCGGAATCGGTGCCAACCTTGTGCCACAGCTCCTTTTCACTTTATTAATACTACCAATATAATAAATGAGGCACCGCTACACAGCCGTATTGTTACGGTGGGCTTATGCGGATTCACAAATCTTTTGATTATCGCCTCAAATTACATGATACCCCACTTGATCTCTGTATGAAACATTGACAGTTCCTGGAACTTTTGCAACATTTCTTATGCTCGTCTGTTCTGGCTGGATATAGCTAGCATCGTTGAGTGCTTTTGTCATCGTGTACTGCAGTGAAGTGACAACAGCGTTTTAGGCGCCGCAATTTTGCGTATCTCCCGTGTTCTGAGGGGAAAACACTCCTCCCGAGCGAGACGCTATACACCGTTTCTGAATAAAAATGACTAGTAAATATGGTTAGCTGCACTAATCTAACAATATTTTTTTTTTCACATTTACATATTCGAGATGCACCAAGGATGCTTGACTATCGTGAGAACTCTTTTATGAACTGCTCTTTATATTTATTTTTTATGTCAACTGTCGTTTAATTATTACCATATATGGGTTCCATCCGTTCGATGGCACAGTTAATATACAGTATATTGAAACTCAATTAGTTGGAGCAGTAAGCGCAAGAATAACTTAAATAAAGTTTGCTTCTTTTTTAAAAGCTTTGTTTTCTATCTCATTTAAGAACAGAAGTTTTATTACAACATATAGAACTCAAAGAAAGCATTAATTTGGGTGCACGATATGATTACATTCTAACATTATTTCAGTGGGATATACTATTTGGTTTGATTTCTTACCTAAACGCCATGCAGAGCAGTCCGTACTGCATTTGTCAATCACCATCTTGTTACCGTACCTTGTGATTCTACGCTCAATTAAACGGCCAGATAGGGAATTAAACCTGCCATGCTGCTGATGCAATGAAAAGGTTGCGGGCAAGCAGGAAGGCAAAGTAGACAAATCCATAAATCTTAACATGATATTCGACTTGGAATGAATGAAAATATGCTCCAGGAGCACTTTTTGCAGTTCCAAAACTGACTTTTGACTAGTCCAAGAGGTACTCCAAAATGACTCAGACCAATCACATCACTATTAATGTATTATGAGGGTTACAGAGAACCATGCACTAGCTGGCGGAGCGTTTGGCAACTTTGCTACTTGACCTACCCTTTGATTGCTTGACATTCAGGTGGACGATGTGTGAGGCAATTTTTAGAGCCCATATTTTTTTGTGCACTCATGCCCACCATAAAAAGCCAAGCATGCACCCAAGCGTCAGAGGGTAGTACTTACAAGGCATTTTAATAGTGTTTGCCTGTATATGCTACTAAAGTTGTTATATTTCTGCTGCAACCAACGATTCAGTTACAATAATCTAGCACTTCCATATGTTGCAGGAGGTGACCCAGCTGAAGCAGAGGGTAGCAGAACTAGACCAGAAGGTAGCAGAGCACAAGAGGGACGTTAACAACTTGCAGAAGCGGAACAATGTACTTCTCTGAGAAAAGAAAAATACTGCTGAAGGCCTACAGACTGTCTTTACAGAAGACCAGATTCGTGCTCTGGGTAGAAAATCCAACTGCGGAAGCCCATGGTCATCTGCTACAATCAAGAAGTCACTGCAGCTGCACTTCGCCTGTGGGTCGCCGGGCTACAATCTTCTTCTGTCACAAGGACAACCCCTTCCGGCAGAACGCACCTTGCGAAGTCATATTTAAGGTATTAAGTTTGAGCCTGGAGCTCTCTGCGAAGTATTTGACCTCATGAAATGCAAGGTGGCTGCCTTTAAGCCCCAGAAGAGAAAGTGTGTCCTGATGCTAGATGAGATGCAGCTCCAGGAGAAGCTGGAGTACGATGCGAGTAATCAGAGTATTTGTGGCTCAACAACATTGGGAAATGGAGAAGCAGAATCGCGTGCTCCAAAGTGCACTACTCTTTCAGAAACTCAAGCGGCGTCTTTTTCTCAAAATTCTGCTCCAACGAACCAAGTACCTCGTGCCAGGAAGCCTGCTCTAGTTTTGGCCACTCACTGTTTGGTGTTCATGATTGGAGGTATGTCCACCCGGTGGAAGCAGGTCGTGACTTACCACTTTACTGGTGCTTCATTCAGCGGAAGCGAATGTGCGAACATCTTAAAGGACATTGTTAGACGGTGTTCAGAGATAGGATTAGACGTCATTGCTGTGACAAGTGACATGGGAGCAGGAAACAGGGCCATGTGGAAAGATTTGAATATAATTGCAGGCAAGCACTCCCGGGTTTTTTGCAGTACGCCCCACCCAGACAATCCCTCAGGGGTCATTCATTTCCTTGCCGACGTTCCACATATTATCAAAAATCTGAGAAACCACCTCTGCCGCCTTCAGAAAATTGTTCTCCCTCAAGATGTTGTGGATAACTTCAACCTGCCATCAGATGTGGTCCACCTGTGGCCCGTGAAGGAGCTGATGTCCCACGAAAGAGGAAAAGCATTATAGCTCGCACCCCACCTCACAGATACCCACTTGTCACAGGGTCACTTCGACAAGATGAAGGTGTGCTATGCAGTTGACTTGATGAGTCATAAGAAGGCATGTGCCATCGAAGAACTGGTAAAGGAACATGTAATCAGTTCCCAAGCACTGTTGACGGCATGGTTTTTTCGGACCGTCAACAAATGGTTCAACCTGATGTGCAGCAGACACCCCGGCATGGCATTCAGCTTGGCGAAGCCCGAAAAACATGATGAGGCTGTGGCATTTTTGGAATTCTTCATGGACATGTTCCAGAGAGTGAAAATCGGAGATGGTGTGTGGAAGCCGGTGCAGACAGGCGTGCTGCTCAGCACGAGCAGTATCTTGGCCCTACAAAACACCCTTCTGCATGAAGATAAGTATACATTTGTACTGACTAACCGCTTTACTCAAGACAGCTTAGAAAATTCGTTCTCTGAGGTAAGGGGAAAGAATTCCATTCCAACCCTATACCAGAGCAAGGTTGCTCTTCGGATTATCAGCGTGTCTCAGTACTTGAATGCACCAGCACACAGCAGTTACTCCATCGACGACGGAGCATTCTTCCCGGCAGACTACAGATCTTCCGTTCCTCAAGAGGTGCAGGAGGTGGTGGCAGGCACGGGGAAAGCTGACCCAGATGAGGATCTTGTGATGCCGAGCACTGAGGAGAGTGCATTTGTTTACATGTCAGGCTACCTCGCAGCGTCAGTCCTGAAAAACAATGTCACTTGTTCAGATTGCAGAAGCGTTACAGTAGACCCAGGAAACAATGAT